TACTTGTGAAAAAAATATAAAAATATAGCATTTATATTTGGAGCAACGTACGGCAAGATAAATTACAGATTATGCCACAAACTGTTTTCCCGTCAGACTTGGTTGCCTTGAACGACCCCATGTTTTACGCAGGACAGTTCTTAGTATCAGAAAGACTGGTTCACCCGCAGCCATCAACACCCAACGCCGCTTATTTTGACAGAATAATTCAATTTTCAATGGATAAATCACAAATGACTTCCAATTAGAAATGTGTTTGTCATAATACAACAAATCTTACAGTTAAAGCTGTCTTCCTCATGTTGCTTCACAGCTCATATTTAATTTAGCTTCAAATGTTCTAATTTCATTTTAAATTTTTTTTTAGATGAACTTATTGGATGATTTCAGTAGTTAAAATAAAATATATTTTTTAAAGTCATGTTGTTTAAGTAATCGCGCTTGCAGAGTATATATGTTATCAATGATTAAAAAATGTCATGAACAAATATATAGCATTACTCTTATAATCACTCCGTGCCGTTAAAAATTCTTTATGTTTCAGTTTATTGATTTCCATTCTATTAACTTCAAATGTTCTAATTTCGTTTTTAATTTTTTTTTCTTTTGATTCCAGTTTCTTTATTTAATCTAAATTATTTTTAAAATTATTATCATTAGTGATAATAACAATCTTATAAGTAATTGGAAGATTCTTTGTAAAAAAAATGGTTAAATCCCATAATTAAGAGGGACATTTTTTTCTTCACTTAATAATTGATTGATGCGTGTCTAACTTGTTTATTTCGACGAGACTATTATTGCCACCTCAATTCCCTTTACCCTATTCAACATTATGCATGTGATACGTGACAATTACATTTATTTATTTTTGAATAAGAAAGAAAAATAACACATCATCTATTCCACGTTTAATCGATTATTATCCTAATTAATATTCACGTTTTAACATTGCCCGTCCATTTTCCATAAAATAAAAATACGGTCAATATTATAATATGATTAACGTAGAATATATGGACAATAATTTCACGTGGCTGACAACAAAAATTAAATTTAAAAGATTACGTGTCTATCAATATATATATATATATATAATAAAGGATGAGATTGAGAAGAAAATATTTTATTTATGCTGGCCTTGCCCAGTTGGATTTCTTTTTGTCTTCATCTTAATGAATCATTTTTTTAATTAATCATTGGTATCCGATCTATTGACCGACTAATTTATATCAGGTTTTGTAGAGGTCCATTATGAGGGCGCCTCCCAACCTAGTTTGCTCCATGCACAATGACCAAGATTCGAACCCTACAAAAATAGAAGAGCTACATTTCGGATATGTAGGTGCTAACTCGATGTTTTTATTTTAAAAACCCTGAAAAAATAATTAATGAGAAGAATAAACACCATACAACATTAATTGAAAAAAATATCTTTCAATCAGTTTATTTAGAAAAATGACCTCCAAATCTTGCGTTCCGAAAAAAATATTAAAGTCTCGCGTTATACAAAAAGCGAGTTTCATGCATTTATTGTATTGTTCATCCAAAAATTAAATGAGTTTATCTTAAAAGTTGATGGATCTCGCGCTCAATAAAACATGAGGTCCTTTAAACGTATTTTGTAGAACGTAAAATAACATCACGTATACGGTTTGAGGGGTTTTTCCCAATAAATATTGTTTGTGAGCTATTTTTTAATTAATAAATTTTTGGGTTTATTTTAATGAAAACGCTGCTAACTCAACTACCCAAAATCAATCCTATTCAATACTCATCCATAAAAATAAGATCTACTTTTATGGTATATATTTTTAAAATTTTACACAGATTTAAAATTATTATATCAATAAAATTATGAGACTGATATTAATTTATTTTTTTATAAATATCTTTTTATTCTATACTATTAATCTAAATTGACTATTTTCAATATAATTAGATCTTTTCCTTATATATATATGTGTGTGTACATTTCTGTATTAAATCAATAGAATGCCGTAACAGTTGCCTCAAGCTGTATACAAAAAACATATTTGCATATTTGTTGTTAAAATTCTAATTTAATTTTTTTTGTATTAGTATTATTTTTACTATTAAACATCCTTAAAGTTATAGATATATTTATCGATGGGTAGATTTAAGTGTTAAACAGTTTGATATCGTTTAATCAAGGTCTCAAGATAGAGTCCTTATGTATTTAAAAAATTTATACTAAAAAGATTTATTTACCAAAATCAAATGTACTAGTCAAAGCAAACCTTTAAAAGTAAAGTGCAACCCAAAAAATTATGGATATATTTTATGAAATCTCAAAGTTGACTCAAATTAGAGGAAGGCGGGCATGCAAAAGAAAAGAACGTGTCACCAAACAAAGGGCAGCCTTGCCTAATTTAAAAACATGTTGTAGGGAAAATAGTAGGGACGTAGTCAAAATTAAATATTGGTTAAGTCGAAATATTAGACTATTTAAGAAAAATATAAAGATTTATTAGGCATTTACACTTGAAATTCAGCATGAACCAAGCGTTCTTAGTGATTAAGGGATTGTTGCTATCCTTGAGGTCCCGAGTTCAAGCACGTAATTAGGGTTATGAACGTTCATTGTCAAATAGTTGAAAGTCTTTGTACAAATATTAATTTGTATTCACCTTAAATAAAAAAAATCAAAACTCAAAAGACAACTTCTAATTTGTCTAATATTTAAACTTATAATGACTTAAATTATAATTAGAAAAAAAAATTGAGAACACAAACTTATTATTTTTTTAGTTTGATCCCTATTTAATTAAATATTTAATATTTTTTATATTTTTTAAATTTAAATATTTATTTTTATATAAACCAAAATATTATTAAATTCCCCGACAAAGGGAAAGTAGAATCCTTTCTCACATAAAAGTAAGGGCGAAGAAAGGTTACGTGCATGAGTAGCCCAATTATAATAGCCATCATATCCCCAGTTCTTTTACTTTTCCAACCGTACCCATTAATTTAATACTATAATAATGCATGGCCCCTTGAGGATTAGTCTGAAATTATGTCTACAACTCCCTAAGTTAGAAAAATTATTTTATGAACCCGATTCATCAAGTTATTCATAATTCAAGTGAATCGCATCCATTAATTTTAAAATAACTTCTGAATGACTATTTATTTACACGTAGGAAAGATGTATGTTTCACCTTAGAAAAAAATAAAACGGAAAAATATTATTAGTTAGAACCACGGATGACGTGATGAACTAAGTTCATCTAATATTTTTTCATAAACTAGAAATATAAATATTTTTATTTTATTATATTGTCATGTTTTTATTATTCTATTATTACACCTTAATTTATAATAAAGTGTACTCACAAATCATAATTTTTTATTCTTATTTTTTCGTAATAAATTTTTAACTTTTCATTATTTTATCCATCCTACCAACCGAACTTCAAGAAAAAAAAAGGGATAAAGAGAGTGATTCCATTTCGTAAATGTGGAAAGTTAAGAAATTCTAGTCTTCTCCATGACTCCATGAGTAGTTGTTTTTATTTGTTAATAATTTATTATTTCCCCCCCCCCCATGTGTCACTTTCCCACTTGAGTATAAACTCTTCACGTTATTAACAGGTACAATAGCCATGAAAAATCAGAAAGATGCTTTGATTAATTAGTCTAATCATACGTTTATTTTATGAAAGACATCGTCAATATTTTCAAATTTAAGTTTTAACCTAACCATAATCTCCTCACCATCTATTTACCTATCCCTTTCATAAAAACTTGCAATAATCTTATCGAATCTTCACCGAGTTGTTTTGTTTAATTTCTTTGATTTGTAAAGAATTATTACGTTTAGAGAATAACAATTTGAGACTTGCTAATTCACTATAAAATAACTATGAAAGCGATATAAACTCTAAAATATCACATGCAAAGAAAACAAGATTTAACGTGGTTCGGTCTTGTCTACCTTCACGGGTAAGATAAATAATAATTTATTATAAACATAGAGAACAAGAGAAGTATAAATACATGATATCCTGTGTATCCTAAATTGCGATATGGATATCAAAACTTGGTGTATTCTAAAAACACTTCCAACATCTTTACATAATTATCTTTACAACATAAGCCCCAAAAAGAATTATATCTTTCCAAAGAAATTCTCACTCATAACCCTATTTATAAAGTCAATACTATCACCAAGAATTCCTTTTGAATAAGAATTCATGTCTAAAATAAATATTTATTTTATTAAATAAACTTAACTAAATCTTTAACCACTAAAATTATATAATAAAATTCAATTTAATTATCAATTACAATTTGGGTCAAAATATAACATAGACAAATATCGAAATTTGAACTTACATAAAATGAGAAAACATAAATATCACTGACCATTTGATCAATTAATGAATCTTATTTTATTTAGAATATTTTAATATAATATACTTGTTTTTTTTAATATAAATTTATTGGATTTTACTATAGTACGTAGATTCATGGAGAATTTTACTATTTCTAGTCGTGGAAGCACACAGACACAAAAGTCTTGACGTGCATGCCACGTTTTTGGATGGTTTTGAAGTTCATAATACGAGAACATGTATTTTTTTTTATTCAACTGTTGATATCTGATTTATTGATTAGGTCTGGATTAATATGAGAATAATTCTTTTAATTTAATTTGTTCTATTCGTAAAGAATCAAGATTCGAATTTCTAACTCATGTTTAAATAATTTAATATCTTATTCCATTAGATCAACTGATTATTAACTGATTATTATGAAAACGTAACAAAGGCGGCCATTGAAGAAACCATACAAAAGAACACATCAACCTCCCTTTCGAAACCTTGTCACATTGCACACTCATCATTTTTGCTGTTCAAAAAGATTCCCATCCAGCTGGCTTCTCTATACCACTTGGAAACTTCTTCCTTCTACATTTTTTTTACATTATCATTCGCCAAACTTGGTCTCTTTAAATAACTCTCTTCACAATCAACCTCCCTGCAATTACTCAAATTCCATATCAGATGACTCGGTTCATTAACGTTCTACTCGTGTTGTCGCTCTCTCTTAGTTTATTTTTGCTCCCTCAGACATCATCCGCTCAACTAAGACGAAATTACTATGCTAAGACTTGTCCCAACGTAGAATCCATTGTTAGAAATGCAGTTACTCAGAAATTAAGACAAACTTTTGTCACTGCCCCTGCAACCCTTCGTCTCTTCTTCCATGATTGCTTTGTCCAGGTTCTTTTGAGAACACCCTTTCGAGGTTTCTTCTCCATGTTGGAGTGAGTTATTGATGTTTAATCTTCTTGTTTTCTTGGCTTTCCTTTTTGCTTAACAGGGATGTGATGCTTCGGTAATCATTCAATCCACAGGTGGCAATACAGCGGAGAAGGACCACCCCGATAACCTGTCATTAGCCGGAGACGGATTCGACACAGTGATCAAAGCAAAACAAGCTGTGGACGCGGTTCCTGGTTGCAGAAACAAGGTTTCTTGTGCTGATATATTGGCAATGGCAACTCGGGATGTTATTGCTCTGGTTTGTATTCCCCCATGTCCGTTAGCATTATATTTTCAATCGATGTAAAGAAGAAATGTTGATCATATTGGTGAAACGTGATGAAAATTGCAGTCAGGTGGACCATCTTATGCTGTTGAATTGGGGAGATTGGATGGGTTAAGGTCCACAGCTGGTAGTGTCAATGGAAAGCTGCCTCAACCTTCTTTCAACTTGAATCAACTCAATTCTTTGTTTGCAGCCCATGGACTCTCCCAAACAGACATGGTTGCTCTTTCAGGTATTATATTAATATTACTCGCATCAGAGTGTACTGCTGGATAGGAATATATTTCAAATATGTTTCTGATTATATATTAATGTTAAAAAAATCTTTGAAGGGATATATTCTTATAGCCATGTGGCCGTGCCGAAAAGACTTTAGAGGGTAAATTATGTTTTAGTTACCCACCTATTCTCGTGATTCTGTTTGGGTTTTACTTAAGGGTCCTTGTTTTATATTTTTGCAGGTGCACACAGCGTCGGATTCTCCCATTGCAGTAAGTTTTCAAACAGGATATACAACTTCAGCCGTCAAAACCCGGTGGACCCGACACTCAACCGGGCGTATGCGACCCAACTTAAACAGATGTGTCCCAGGAATGTTGATCCCCGGGTAGCCATCAACATGGACCCGAACACACCCAGGACTTTCGACAATGTTTACTTCAAGAACTTGCAGCAAGGCAAGGGTCTGTTTACCTCCGACCAGGTTTTATTCACGGACCGGAGGTCTAAGCCTCTCGTAAATGCCTGGGCCACCAATTCAAATGCTTTTAACAAAGCGTTTATCACTGCCATTACTAAGCTCGGCCGTGTAGGTGTTAAGACGGGGAGGAACGGGAACATCCGTACAAGGTGTGATGCTTTTAACTGATAATGTTTCTCAGAGGTATTGAACTGTTGGTAGATAATTTTTCAGGTTCTGGGACAAGTATTGTTTAGCTTCTGATGAGATTACTTGGCACTGTAATAAGTTAGATAAGGGGTTTCCTTTAAATTTTCATAAAAGTCGAGGAATAAAAGTGACGGGGTGACGACAACAAATCAACGTTGCTTGACCTAGGATGTCACTATCCGAACATAAATACAAGATATAATCTTCCTAAAACGAATCAACCTCAAAGCATGCCAGATGAACCTTAGCCATTCAAACTGAATCACTGACAGATAAACAATGCACTCATAGTGACTTTACATGCTAATCGATCTGAGCTATGGAAAAGTAAACGATATGTAAATCTATGAGCAGAGCTAGACATGTAAAGTGCATGAATGAATCGTTGCCTATAGAAATATGCACACCATAAGACTACCTAGTTTGAGATATCAAGTTAGAACCATTTGTTTCTTCCTTTCAACATATGCAAGATAGTAACACAAATGGTTCATATAAAAACCATGTCCTCTATGGTTTCATCCATGACCCCATGCAGGTGAATCTGGCATGCCATAGAAGGGGCAAGCAGAAGAAAATAAGTGAAAAGCATTCAATCTCATGTAAGGATATACAGCTCCTTTGAAACAAATGATTTCCACACTCTACTGGTATGGTTCCGATATAAGGAACGAAACACATTTATATCCATGCACATCACTACATAAATGAGTTTATTATTGCACAACCGTAAGTAAACAATCCGAAAATGATTGGTCATATCAGATGAAAAAAGTATGGTAGATGATTAAAGCTCATGATTAGATCAACAATAGCAGGCCCAAAAACTCAAAGATCACCTTCATTATTAAAAAAATAAGTGTTCAATAAAGCTAACAGAAAACTATACGTATCAGAGTGAGATATTTGCTAACCTGTGACTGGTAGATTCCTACAAAGTGTAGATATAGTTGCACGCCTCGGGGATCAATGTCTTGACTTATATACAATCTAATTAGATTGATCTGAAACCCTTGTAGCCTTTATAATTATTTACTTCATCTGTTATATAAAAATGGTACAACCAAGATCTACGCTAGACTGGACTTTAAAATTGAAATGTCGCAAAATTGCCCGAGATAGAACCTGATCCAATTCAAGTCATCGTTCACTCTTCTGAGGCAAGCAGGGAAATTTTCTCAAGTTGTGCTGGCCAGTCTACTCCAAGAATGAGGGGGTTTAGCTCCACTACGACTTGAACGTCTAACATTGATGTAGAAATGTGCAGACTTTGTTTTCGGGCAAATTTCACATGTTGCATTCCATTCAAAGAGGCAATGGACTAACTACGACCTTGCTCGATGAGTTTTTCTGTAGATCTCGAACCAGTTAGTTCCAAGCATGGACTTAACAATCTCTACACAAAGACATCAAGACTAATGTTCAACACATCAGCATAATCTACTGAGATGCTTAATCCCTCCAATTCCAACCTCTGTTCCAACCTCTTCCTGAAAGAACTACTATCAGGCAGTTCACCTCTGCAATAACAAGTCTCAGAAGCAGATTCCAACCCGTCCCAAGTAACTCTCCACATTCCTTTAGCATTAAAAGAGATGCCAAGCAGGGCTCTAACAGGACTCCTACTCTGAATGCTTGGACTTCCTGCAGCTTGATTAACCTCTTCTCCATCCTCCACAGAACCAGGCAGTCGGCTACTCGATGAAAGCAATTCAGTAGCACTCTGTTCATGAAGTTTAGGAGCCCCATCTTGTCTAGGTTAGCAGTCGATTTGACAACAGATTATATGAACAAAAACTTCCATAGTATACTAACACTCAGATGGCACTCAACAATTTCGGTCGTGCCTTTTATACGTTCTTAAAGTCGAACATATAAGAGGCATGACCGCATGTCATATTGATGATTGTGACATCATTTTATTATTATTTTAGGGTAGCTAAAATAAACTGAAAGAAAGAAGTCTTGCAAATCAGATCTTTCAATTAGGTACTTCCAAGATTTGGCCAACCTTTCATTTCACCTACCTGAACCGAACATCTTCAATCATTCTGCAAAACCATCCCATCTAATATTTGCCATTACTTGTTGGGGGTTAGAGTTTACCAACAACTAGAAGAAAACCAACGTTTAGGAAGAATGGATCTTTGCTTTTGTAATTTGCATATCAAATGGTACAAAAAGTTAAAATCAAATCTACAAATAAAATAAACCATCCGCATTGGGATTTAGTTTAACCCACACTGGTCAGGTTGTGATTTGGATTTTCTCTAATTTTCATATCCAAACACCCATTAGCCCATTTTACAATTATATATTTTATATACTAATATTTAAGTATTAAAAAGTACCTCAGAGTTTGATCGAGTCTAGAAGGGTAGCAGGTGGCTTGAACCTTCTATAGCTAGAACTTTGATTTATCACGAAGAAATGGAATTCAAGGACAGAAAGAATCGTGCATCTCCAATTCTCTTTATGCTCAACATCTTTTTCACTAGCATTTTCCATTTGATGACATCCTTCTTACCTTGTTTCTTGATCTTCTCTTTGAAATTCCTGAAATCAAAAGTTGGGTTTCAATATTCTATATCATCAGTAATATATAAAACTGGATATATTGTTAATTTATGCAGATTAGATTAGTTATGTTTGTGAACAAAATTGACATCAAGCATGTTGCAAGAGAGAAAGAAAAAGAGAGGTCTTGATTACATGCACAAAGGAACTCTGCACAAGCTTGGATCCGCACAGAGGCGAGCGTGTAACTCCAGTAGTTGCCACATTCTTTTGCAATGGATGCAGCCTCCAGGGACTCTCAACTTGCAACCGGCGAAATGGCGAACAAGCAATTCTATCCCTTTGCAAGCTGCATAAGTGCAAGGTTTCTGGTCCTCTTTAAAATCCGTATCATATGGACCAATGGATCTGCAACCATCTCTGCAAATGTGAATAAGAGCCTCCATTGCTTCATATAATTGAAGGTAGATCTTCCGCTCGTTTGATCCTCTGATTTTCTCTTTTCGCATCTAGGAAATTACATTTACCATTGGGTTTAGTGTTTAAGACCAAAGTGTTGATAAAAATGGGAAGCAACCTTAAAAAGAAATATCCATACATTTTCTTCATAAATCATGGATTCCAAAATTTCCTTTTCTAGTAATGGATAACTCTTCTTCATGGCATTCTATCCTTCAGTTGCAGAAACAGCATTGAAGTTCCTTAGGATCATACGGTGACTAATCAGTGCGAGCCGAGGTGCATCGCAAAGTAAAGAAAGCTGGAAGACGTCAACAACATTTTCTAGTGTAAGCAAGCCATCCTCTAGTTGTTGCTCACAACAAGTTCCTTCATTTCTTCTTGCTCATAACTACAAATAAAAACCAATTACAATTAGCACATAGTAGCATGATTCAGCCACAATATATCAGAGGCAGTCTCACTAATTTTACCTTCAATTTAGTTTGGCATTTATAAATGAAAGTAGACGTGTTTAAAGAACTGTTTTAATTTTCTGACTGCTGGAGGTATTCCACGGAAGCTGCTCTCAACCTGACATTGGGGGCAACCTACAACCCTACCTCCCCTTACCCCATTGCATATGGGAATAAGGTTTTGTTGTTGTTGTTGTCAATTTTCCCACAAAACTTTAAAGTCCCTCAAAGTATCAAGCTAACTGTTTTCCAATTATTCTACTGGTTTTCAAACTGTGTTCGGCAAAATATCTTACGTGGAAAGGGTAATTACCAGGAAGAGTACAAGAACCGGATGAAAACCCGAACTGCATCATGCTGAACGCCAGGGATTGAAATTGACATCTTACAACCAGAGCCTTTTGCTTGTTTCAGCATGCCTCGTAAGACAGGAGAAGCCATGCCCTGTAGGCAAATATCAAGTGAACAGATTGAATTGATAAATTAAGATACCATTTCAGCAACTCAGCATTGTTAAATAGTAATTATTTGATCTACTTTCTTATACAGTTAAAACAGCTTGATTTGAAAAAGACACAGATAAAGGGGCCTTTACTATCATCAAAATCAGAAATGGGAATAGAGGGAGGGACTTACAAAAACAGAAGTATGTGCGTAGATGATTCCGCCATTATCAGTACTAATGATAACATCGGCCCTAAAGCCTCCATCAAAGAGGTTATCACACATATCTCTCGTGGATGTCGACAAATAGCTGTTTCCTTTTGCTACCGATCCACTGCTCATCGTAAATAACCCCTTCCGCTGACAGTTTGTAGCCGGGCCTGGTAATGGAGGTGGCGTTGGAGGAACATCATTGCTACCTTCATGAGATTGCTTCGTAACAACTGCCATCCGTCAAATTCACTTCCCTTTTGGAAGGATTTAACACGGGATTTTTTATTCTTGAATCTGAAAATAATGAAATAGCATAGATTTGATAAGCAATCCAAAAAGAAAAGTATTTATCTGTCACAATTTGCAAAGCAAATCTAGCAGAAGATTATATGAAAAAAGTGCAAAGTATTCAAATAAAAAATTAACTGACCCTATTTTCATATGTAATGGGTACCAACACCAAAAGCAGTTTACAGTCAAAATTATAAATTGTTCACGGAATCGATCCACGATAAGAAGGTTAAGAGCACTCTACCAACTGAGCTGAAATTTCTTATGTACTAAAAAGGAAAAACAAAAAAACTAATCACCGTCGTCAAAACGATCTAAGAATTCATGGAATTGAAACACTTTCAAAAAATGAAAACTAAAACAAATTATCTTCACCGAACATTTTTAATCAAATCAAAACTAGACGAATCACGGAAATGCAAATTCAACAAGATTAAATTAACAATCCTAACGTAATTGTTCAATGGAGAGGGGAAATGGAAAAGGCGAACACCGATTGGTCCGTCTCCAGCTAAAAATGTGTAGCAGTAAAAAAAGAGACAAATTTAAACAGTGCCGGAATATGCCATTCCAGACGAACAAACACCGATTTGAAGCGCCGCCGCTAGTGGCAAGAGCTTAGACGAAGAGGTTAGAGAGAAATGAGAAACGGGCTGCTTTGAAATTCCAGTCTGCTCCTTTCTGTCACCATCAACTCCCCAGAAATATCGCTAACTCAGTTCCACGACATTTCCCCAACTTCTTCTCATGCGCTGGATTTCCCGCGTTTTAATCTCCTCTCACATTCTCACTACAACATATTAACTGATTTTGATTTGTTACTAACACTTTTAGTAGATTATCCAAGGTTAAAATACACGTTTAATACCTTAATTACTGCTATTATTTTTCTTTCATTTTAATTATATAATTATTTTTTCTAAAATTGTAGCTAATATTATATTATAGTCATCCATTCAATTACAGATCCAGAAATATTTTTTAGCTTCTCAACCAGAGTTTTGACTGAGTCGAGTTTTAGCTGCTCAACTCATTTAGTACTCCCAGTGTGC